TAGAGTAGTGATCCCTCCCTCCTCTGACATTTTTCATATCATCCAGTCAAAAAGAAAAAAAGTGATTTAAAAGGTAGGACACAAGCTAATCTCAAAACTATCAGAGCTTTGGAATTTGGGGAAAATGAAGAGAGGGATATAAAAATGGGAAATCCAGGATAGAAATGAAAACCAACAGGAAAAGTATTTGTTAAGGATGTCAGGGCATTGACACGTATTGAGGGAAGTTATTTGTAACGGACTTTAGATCTCCAGGCTAAATATTTAATTAATTCTTATTCCAGATGTATTAGTCAAGGCTATTGCTCTTGCTACTAAGGTCTATATTATACTTCACTATGTGCTAGGCATTTCAGTTCATTTCATTCTTTGTTTTACACCTTCCTGCAGGCTTCAGTCTCCCTCTTTGTCAAAGACGGCAACAGAGCCTGTCAGAAAATAACCAATTTTCCCTAAATCTGGAAGCTACCTGGTATCAAAGAAGCCAATGTTCATTTAGTTCTTGTTGCCTAAGGCCTTCAAGACAAGGGTGTATCTAAAGTATACCCTAATGATTGGTTGAAAGTGGAGGGGAATAAGGCTTGTAGAAAGGCATTAAAAAATATACAGCATATGGAAATTCTGGGGATCAGTTTAAAATCCTGATTTCTTTTGTTTGGGAAAATTATCAGTAATTTGATATAAATTTCCAAGTGAGAAATGAGATTGAAGAGGTTAATGATAAATGAGTAAAATCCTATCTAGCCATGAAAATAGAAAAATCAGCTTGGCTTAATAGAGATCAAAGCAGCCCTACTGTTAACCAAGTTGGAGACCAGACACAGGTAAAGCTGCTGCAAAGTTAACCTGAAACATTGTTTCTCCCAAAGTTATGCAGCAGATATAAATGCTATAATGACCCCTTGCTTGAATGATTATTCTTTTCTTACCAGGGAAGCCTCAATCTACTTTGCCACGTGCAGCCATTATTGGGAATACCTAATCCATAAACTGCCATTATCTCATGACAGCACCTAATCCCTAATTAGTCCTCTTCTGATCCCTTTGAGAAGCATCAACACATCCTGAACAGACCACAACTTCCCATAGAGAACCCCATATCTTCAGAGGGGACTCAGACCTTTCAAGAAAATACCTGTCCATTGGCATTTCCTGGTTCTTTTGGAGCACCCTCCGTGACTGTCTCCAAGCAATAGATATGATTTTGCTCATAACACAATCCTGCTCTGATGATCTTTGGCTGATTAGACTTTGAAAGTTGAGGTCCTGTTGTGGAATGCATGCTATTTGACTTGATACTGAGGATTAGCAAAACATACTAACAATTTGTAAACAGTGAACTCACAGACTCAGTTTGGGGTATTAAAATGACTCTGGAAATATTACAGTGTGTGTATTAGAGATAGTTAAAATTGGAAGCAAGAACAAACTAGGAAATGTTATATGCATCAAAATGTGAGCGATGATGATATATTGAACTGAAGAAGTATCACCACTAAAGATATCCCAGGGGATAGATTTGAAACATGTTACAGAATTGAAATTCCACAATTTTCTAACTATCTATATATGAGGGACAGGGGAGATAGATGCATTCAGGATAAACCTCAGATTTTTGGAATGGGCTAATAGGAGTATCATATAATAAAGGAGAAAACACAGGGTGATATTCTGGTTGGGAAAACTTTTAGTTCAATTCAGTACATGGTGAGATTTAAAATATGTGGGATATATACAGAGTTGACTAAGCAAGATCATTGTGTTTGTATAGAGCTCGGGAAAAAACTCTTCGTGGCAAATTCATATTTTTGTATTCTCATTTTCTATGTGGAATTTGCAGCCACATAAAATGACACACAAAGAGTGCACAGGAAATGAATAAAGTTCTTTGGACAAAAACCTGCTCCATCACACACATAAAGTTACTGTATCCTATATAACACCAAAACCTACATTATGAATGATTCTTTGCAGATACCTTTCCTCATTACTAGTGCTTTCTTCAGACAATGTTTCCTGGATATAAAGTTTTTCTGCCAATGTGGTAAGAAATGATTTTTAACATCATCAAACGTGCAATATTCCATTTTCTAACTGGGCTTGGCACTGTGGGGAACATCTCTGTCTTGATGAATTATATGTGCATTTTCTTTGGGACACTGAGAAGAAATCTTTACACTTTATTCTCATCCATATGGCTTTTACAAATTTTACAATTCTATACTCCAAAGGAAAGCCAATGACAATAGCAGCTCTTGGTTTGAGAAACTTACTAGATTATACAGGCTGTAAAATTGTTGTTTATCTGCATAGTGTTGCTCGGGGCCTTTCTATCTGCACCAATAGTCTCCTCAGGGTGGTCCAGGCCATCACCATCAGTCCCAGAGTGTATGTGTTGGGGAGGCTCAAGGCAAGGTCCCCATGGAATATCCTTCCTTTGTTTCTCTTCTTTGGGACACTCAATTCCTTGATAAGCATGAATGTACTCTATGTATTCCATCACAAACAGCAGCATGAACATATCACAAATTAGTGAAAGTAATGACTATTGTTATTTTCTACCAGGGAGTCCAGTAATAAAAGATGGATTTTCTCACACTCATGGCCCTGCGAGATATCCTGTTTCAGGGTCTCATGGGCTGGTCCAGTGCCTATATGGTATTTCTTCTCCACAAGCATCACAAGAATGTTCTCTACATTCAGAACTCTGAATTTCTGTTCAAAACTGACCCTGAGATAAGAGTTGCTCAAAGTATTCTCCTTCTGATGCTTTGTTTTATTTTCTTTTATAGGGCAGGTTGTTGTATGTGTTCATATTCAGCCTTTGTTTTAGAGAATAATTTCATAATATCAAATATTTGAAAATGTCTATTTATTGGATATGCCGTTCTTGGACCATTTGTGCTGATTCACAGAGATACACACAGGGCTAAATGTTGGCACAGTCAGTGAGACTGGAGAAAATCTGTGTTTCATTGATCCTTTCAATAAACAAGTTTGAAATAACTTTTAGTTTTGTTAGGCTGTTCAAGTAAGACCGGCGTAAACATATCAGAGTATATTTGCATACAACAAACATGGTGACCTGCAGCCCAGAGCTGACACAGAGATCATAGAAAGCTAGAGGAACCCAGATATTTTCTCATTCTCTACTCTGCCACCCTGAAGAAATGTATTTAATTGTAATGTTTCTAAGATGGCTCCTTCACTATCATTCTTACAGTAGTAAGGAGTAGGAGAACAATTTGGTAAATTTCATCAAATTTACTAATGTATTTATCCTGTTGACTCAGAATTTATTTTCTGGGAACTGATTCTACAGATATACCTGGTCTTGTGAGAATTACAATTGGAAAAGATATTATACATTGGAGCATTTGTTATTAAATTTTTATTGTTGTTAGACACTACATAAATATCTAACAAAGGGAACTATTTTTCTGGCTATTTGAAAATAGCCATACATATCCATTCATTCAAGGGATTCTACTGAATTTATGAAAGAATGAGCAAGTACAAAATGTAGTGGTATAGAATGATTTGTCATTTTAATTTATAGAAGAAAAGCAATGCAAGAGTAATAATTCTGAAAATAAAATAAAATGTATTTAACTTGATGTTATGTACATGAATCTCTACTGGAATACAAGAGAAATTATAAGTATTGAGAGAAACTAACTAAATGGAGGCATAGTACATAGAATTTCATTTTATATCTTTCTCTGTATTTTTTAAATTTCAGCATATTATGGGGGTACAAATGTTTAGGGTACATATATTGCCTTTGTCCCACCCGAGTCAGAGATACAAGCATGTCTACCTCTAGATGTTGTGCACCCCACCCATTAGGCGGGAATATACCAATCCCCATCTCCCCTTACTTGTTTGTTTGATCATCAAAGAAACTAATAAAAGCATGAAGAGTGATTTCTTTGTATCCCCTTATTTTGTGAAGTAAGTGCTCCTTCCTAGTCAGAAATGTGTGCTATCAAGGGCTGTGCCTGCATGCACATCTGGGCTCAAATAAGGTGTGGAAGTTACGATGGAGAAATGATCAAAAGGGAAAAGAACCAAAGACCTGTGTGAGAAAAAGAAGAGGCAGAAAGTAGTTTAGTTTGAAATCAACAGTTTGAAATGAAAGAGGAACAACAGTTTTTATCCAGTCACCTCAGAATGGAAATGAAGAGAAGAGCTTCTCGCCATTATCAACTCCAGAAACCCCGAAATGGAAAGCAGATTCGTCCTCAGGAGCACCAGAGCTGGGTATTCCACTTTTCCTTAAAATTATCTGTCACTCCAAATGACACAAATCCTTTTATTCACTCAACTATCTGAAAATTTTCCTGTCATTCAACCAGACTCTGTCTTAAAGAAAACAGGAATCATAGGGTTGCCCCCAATCCTGAGCTACACTTTTGGGACCTAAACACATTTTCGAAGCTGGGCAGAAGTTGGTCTGAAGAACTGGGAGTGTCTCCAGGAGCAGAGTTGGAACCAGACCTTACCCAGGGTCTTAGGTGCAGTGAGTCAGATGGGAGTGGCAACGGGGACATGGAGCCCAGAGAGATCTCCCCACCACTTTTGTCAGGTGTACGACACCCTTGAATTCTTTTCAAGTGAATATATTCTTTCTTTTTCAAGATGCTTTTGCTTCTGAGTTCTCCTCTTACAGGTCATTCATTTCTTGACTCTTTAACTAGATACTTAATCCTATTACTTAAAATCTAACATTTGTTTAAGGTTTTGGGATTTAAATTAATGACATTTTCTTTGTTCATAGCTGTCCCAAATACTGTATCTTGTAATCTGTAATGTTTTCATTGTCATTTTATAACAGTTTTTGCAGTTTTTGTTTTGATTATTTTGGGATTAAAACATTACTTTCAGCAAATATGTTCTGTATCTCATGGATACAGTCTATGTCTCCCTTGTTGCTTAATTACAATAGAGTAAGATGTGGATGAATGGGCTGGGTGAGGGTGGGAAGTCAGTCTACTCACTATGAAAGTGTATTCTCCCATGATGAATTCTCAGACCCATGTCTAGCGCTGGCTCTCAGATGACACTATTGCCAGGTGTCAGGGTTTTCCAGATTTCCTTCTTCCAACACAACTGAAAGCATTCTGGGCAGACGAAAAGCTTTCTGTAAGTCTCCAACACTAAGAAGGCAAGGCCCCTGAGACAGACACTGTGTCCACACATCATTGAAAAGGGCTCTTTAAAACTGTAATAGTCCCCACAATGAGGTAGGTCAATGCTTTATGAAGTTCTGCCATGGTTGCTGAGGAACAGGACACACACAGCTGTGAGGGTTGTGTCCTCACAAAAGACTGAGTATAATTTTAGCACCACTTTGTTTATTTTTAGATTGTTTTCCACTGTATGGCAGGACATGAGTTTGATAATAAAGATGTTAAAGAACTTTTGAGATGATAAAGAGATGATAAAAAACTTCTGAGAAAGCAATTAATATTATAGAAAATCAGGGATTTTAATTTCTTACCATCTAACAGATGAGAAACCCTAAAAGATATGAGAGAAAAACTATTTTCAAATAGGATGCATTGTACATGTGTTTGTGTATTTCTAAAACAGCACAAAGCAATTATCTTTTTAGTAATGCTTCTGCATATTTCATTAGATTTTCATGTTTTATTATTTTCCATTTAAGGCCATGCCAAGCACGTGGCCTGGCACATAATTGGCTCTCATCAAGTATCTGTGGAGATAATTATTGTTTCAATGATTTCTGTGATGTAGCTCAACCTTTTCTTATGTTTCATAGCCTTGAGAGTTTTGAGAAGTACTGTCCCGTATTTTGTAAATATCCCTAAATTGGGATTTGTCTGATGTTTTCTTTCTGTTTAAACTGGGGTTATTAGTTTGGGGAGAGATTAACACTGAGGTCAAGTACCTATCTCATCACATCTGTTATGGATTGAATGTTTGCCTCCCCCACAAAAGTCCTCTCTCTTAACCCTCAATGTGATGGTATTTGGAAGTGGAGCCATTGGAAGAGAATTAGGGTTAGATTAGGTTATGAGTGGGTTGCCCCTATTATGGATTAATGCTCTTTAATAGAAAAAGAGACGTAGGATTTCTCTCTCTGCTCTCCACCATAGGATGATAGAACAAGAAGACAGCCATCTGCAAACTAAGAGGAGCATTGTCATCAGATATTGGATTTACCACCATCCTGACCTTGGACTTCACAGCCTCCAGAACTGTGAAAATAAATCTTTATATTGTTTTGGCCACTCAGTGTATGTTATAGCAGCCTGAACTAACTAGAATAATATCTTATCAGGATGTACTCTATTAACATGACTTACCACTGGTAATGTTAAACTTGATTATCTGGCCAATAGAGGGTTTTGCCAGGTTTCTCTCCTAAAAAGTTACTATATTTTACCTTTACTATATTCTTTGGAGATGAATAACTAAGTGCTGCCATTACTTAAGGGGGGTGGCTAATTAAGATCTTCCTCTCAGAGGGAAGAGTACCTACACAAATTATTTGGAATTCTCCTGTAAAGAAGACTTGTCCCTACTGTGCTTATTTATTTATTTAACCATTTATTTATATCAGCATGCACTTGTGAATATTTATTTTATACTTTAGGTTATAATCTAATAATGCACAGCTATGTTATGGTTACATTTGGTGATATTTGGTCACATTTTTCCTGTTTATATACTTGGAACTGTTGTAATGAGAGAGAGTGAAATCATTTATTGATGTGCAATACATAATCAATTCATCAGCATATAGACTGCGAAGGCATTCATACATTTCCAAGATGCTTAGTTTACCTCATAAATGGCTTATAAATATTAATAACTGACAAATTATTAAAACCTTAAGACAAAATAATTTTAGATGAATTTGTTGGCAACTCTTGTGTCCATATGTGCATGAATTAGAGTGTTTCTTTCCAAACTAAAAAATAAATAATTTAAAAGCTCATGTTTCTAGAGTGTATGCATATAATTAACTCACAAAGATTTATTTTTTGTTTCTGATAACATGAAATAAATAAGACAGCTATATCAAAATATAATCTAATCAAGACTTTTCTGTAGGTCAAGCATATGTAATTGTTTTCAATGTGCCTCTTCTTATATCATAAACAGGTAAATCTTTATATTAAGTAGCAAGGATGCTGAAATTCAAAGATAGTCTTTGTGTGAAAGACATATTTTTTTTGAGTTTTAATTTTTATTTTATTTTATTTATTTTTTTAACATTTAGTGTGAATTTTTTAATTAGAAAATAATGTATGTGCATTGAAGAACATTTGGAAAAAATGGAAATTTATAATGAATATAATAAAATTCACTGTGGTTCAACCACCCAGAGACAGATAATTAACAGTGTATGATGTGTGATTTTTTTCACTATACATATACACATATTTTTTTTGTGTGTGTTTTCTTTCTTTTTTTTTTTTCCTTTTTTTTATTACTTCATATTATGGGGTTACAGATATTGTTAGGGTTACATATCTTGCCCCTGCCCCCCTCCCCCCCATGTCAGAGCTTCTAGCGTGTCCAGCCTCCAGGTGGTGCGCACTGCATCCACCGTGTGGGTACACACCCTTCCCCTCCTCCCCCCTTCCACCTGCCCACTTCCTGATTACAGATTTTTTTTTCAGACTTTTTGGTTACAATGTATATCTTTATCTTTCCCTAAAAAGGGATAGAGGTAATCCCTTTCTTCCCACAATGCTCACCACTTCCTTAAGATGTGAGTCTCCCCCCCACCAAATCTCTGTTGAACACTACCGTTTTTGAGCACCATAGTTGTAGTCAGTCAGTACCAATTTGATGGAGAGTAGATGTGTAGCCCATTTTCCAGATCTTGTGTTGTCTGGCTTTGTATTAAGGGCTTAAGCGTAATCCAGGATAGCATAAACAGTGCTAGCTCACTGTCGTTTCTTAGGATTGAGTAGTATTCCATTGTGAGCATATACCACATTATAGTTATCCACTCATGAATTGATGGGCACTTGGGTAGTTTCCATGCCCTTGCAATAGTGAATTATGCTGCCATAAACATTAGGGTGTAATGTCTTTATAATAGAGAGACTTATGTTCTTTTGGGTAGATGCCCAACAATGCTATTGTTGGGTCGAATGGTATTTCTATTTCTTGCTGTTTGAGGTATCTCCAAATTCTTTTCCACAAAGGTTGCACTAATTTGCATTCCTAACAGCAGTGTAAGAGTGTTCCTGTCTCTCTGCATCCTCGCCAGCATTTCTTGTTTTGGGATTTCTTGATACAGGCCATTCTCACTGGTGTTAGGTGGTATATCATTGTGGTTTTGATTTGCATTTCTCTGATGATTAGAGATGTTGAACATTTTTTTATATGTTTGCAGGCCATTATTCTGTCTTCTTTGGAGAAGTTTCTGTTCATTTTTATTGCGCATTTCTTGATGGGGTTCTTTGTTTTTTTCTTGTTTATTCTTTTAAGTTCTTGGTAGATTCTTGTTATTAGACCTTTATCGGAAGTGTAGAGAGCGAATATTTTCTCCCACTCTGTGGGTTGTCTATTTGCTCGAATGATCTTCTCCTTGGCAGTACAGAAATATTTTAATTTCATCAGATCCCATTTGTTTATTTTTGATGCAGCAGTGATTGCCTTGGGGGTCTTCCTCATGAATTCTTTGCCTAGACCAATATCTGATAGGGTTTTCCCAACATCTTCTAGGATTCTTAAAGTTTCATGCCTTAGGTTTAGATCTGTTATCCATCTTGAGTGAATTTCTGTGAGAGGTGAGAAGTTGGGATCGTGATTCGCTCTTCTGCATGTTGCTAACCAGTTTTACCAGCACCATTTACTGAAGAGAGAATCTCTTCCCCAAAGTATATTTTTGTCTGCTTTATCAAAGATTAGGTTACCGTACACAGATGATTTCATCTCTGGATTCTCAGTTCTATTCCAGATATTGACGCTTCTGTTTTTGTGCCAGTACCTGGCAGATTTAACTATTATTGCTCTATAGTACAGTTTGAAGTCAGGAAGACTGATGCCTCTCAGTTTGTTCTTTTTACTTAAGATTGCTTTGGCTATACGTGGTTTTCTCTGGTTCCATACAAGGTGAAGAGTTATATTTTCTAGATCTGTAAAGAATGCTGCTGGTATTTTGATGGGGATTGCATTGATTCGCTAGTTCACCTCAGATAATATTGACATTTTAAGAATATTGGTTCTACCAATCCATGAACATGGTAGATTTTTCCATCTGTTTAAATCATCTGCAATTTCTTTTTTTAGTGTTTCATAGTTCTCCTTGTATAAATCTTTCGTATCTCTCATTAAGTGTACTCCTAGGTATTTAATTTTCTTTGAGGCTATAGTTAAGCATATTGCATTTTTAATTTGAGTTTCTACTTGGTGGTTCTTGGCATATATGAATGCTTCCAATTTGTGTGTATTGATTTTATACTCTGAAACTTTACAGAATTCATTTATCAAATCTAGGAGTCTCTTGGAAGAATCCATGGGGTTTTCAAGATATAATATCATATCATCGGCAAAGAGTGAGAATTTTATCTCATCTGCTCTGAGTTGGATGCCCTAATGCCCCTCTCTTGCCTGTTTGCTATAACTAGGACTTTGAGCACTATGTTGAATATGAGGGGAGAGAGTGGGCATCCTTGTCTAGTTCCGGTTCAGAGAGGGAATGATTTCAATTTTTCCCCATTTAGGATGATATTAGCAATTGGTTTGTCATAATGGATTTGATAAATTTAAGGTAAGGGCCGTCTATGCCTATTTTGTTAAGAGTTTTTATCATAAAGGTGCGTTGGACTTTGTCAAATGCTTTCTCTGCATCTATTGACAGAATCATATGGTCTTTGTTCTTGCTTTTATTTATAAAGTGGATTGCATTTATAGACTTGTGTATGTTGAATCAGCCTTGCATCCCTGGAATAAAGCTCACCTGGTCATGGTGAATTATTTTTTTGATGTGCTGTTGAATTCTATTTGCTAAAATTTTATTTAGGATTTTTGCATCTATATTCATGAGGGATATTGGTCTGTGATTTTCTTTTTTTGTTGCCTCCTTTCCTGGCTTGGTATCAAGGTGATATTGCCTTCGTAGAATGAGTTAGGCAGAATACCAGCCTTCCCAATAGTGTGGAATAGTTTATGGAGTACATGTATGAGTTCATCGTTG